GAAAAAAAATTTTACTCAAAAATTAGAAGCATACAATTTTCATGAAAAATCCTAATATCAAAATGTACGAATATTCAGACAATATCCTAAAACGACAAAATTACAAAATATCTTCTGATTATTGCCTTCTGTATATCATTTTTTCTCTATACATAAAAATAGTATAGACATGCATAATCCTACAAAATAAGTATCGAAATTCTAAAAGTGGGATAACGACCCGAAAAATCACAATCCCGAAAACTGAGTACGGGAACAATCTCCCGAAATACTGAGAGCATGAAGTTATTAATAACTTGTCATACAACTTTGTGGGATAACTTTAGACTTTAATATTTCGAGAGATCCAAGTCCCTACCAAGTTTTCGAGATTGTGACTATTTGGGACAATGGCATGCTTTCAATATTTCGGGAAATTGTATTTCGGTATTTCCCGGTGTTCAGTTTTCAGAAATAGTGACTTTTCGAGACTGTGTTTCCACATCTCTCTCAAATTTCGGGATATTGATTTTTCAGAGTTACGTATGTCTACCTAAAAAATTAGGTTATTAATATAATACAACAATTAAGGATAATGTCTCTGTATTCGCATTTTATCAGAATTTTCTCAGGAAAAATTTGTAACTTGTTACAAAATTTGTAAATTGTTACTTTTAATATTTCGATAAAATTATATTTCGGAAAATCGTCTCGATTCGTATTCGAATTTATTACGATTTCTCTCTCTCTCTCTTTCTTTCAGACAATTGTCCCATTCTTTACGTTTCGACACTTTTTTCCAGTGTAATACAAGCCTACCACTAATTTTTTCACACACGTTACTCTTTCCATATTCGCGAACTTCGAGTTTGAGTTCTCGGAATAATGAGAAATTCGCTGCGGGAATTATGAGCGAAGAAGGACGAAATTTTATAATAAGCAGCACGAGCGCGGGCTTATTGGCGAAGTTTCTCACTTTAGTCTAAATTCGATTGGGAGTTCTCGAAGAGCTTACTCGAGGCGATAACTACTCGAGGGTGGAATATCGCCGGGCATATTCTCTCACACGAGATTCTCATAATGCGACCGATATCGAATTTGGCATTGCACCAAGGGCCTGACAATTCCCCTTATCGAGAGGAGATCGCGCACCGCCGAAAGGACGAAGCTTCACCGAAGTTCCGCCGTTCGCGTAGACCGTGCTCCAAGGACTTCCGTGAAAACTGCAATTTATGAACGTCATCTCCGCAGCGGGCCGATATTCCAGTTTATACGCCTCGCGCACACCGAAAAATGAGAATAAATGTGTTTACCGCGTTCGCGAGTATTAATCACCTTTTATCCAGAGGCTCCAAGGAGGCGAGAGGAGTCGTTTGACGAAGTCCCTACTGCTATATTACCGCATTTCCCAGAAAATTGTGAATTACGAGCGTCAAAAAAAACTCTCTCTCTCTCTCTCTCTCTCTCTCTCTCTCTCTCTCTCTCTCTCTCTCTCT